CAGTAAGCACATTGATCTTTATCAAGGGGTGGCCTCCTTCGCTCTCCCGACCTATCTCCCTCTCTCCACTGTCCCTGAGACACAACGGCGGCCAAAACCTTTTTCATCTCCCTATGCTGTTTCTTGTCCCTTTCCTCTTGTTTCTGCCATCTCCTTTCCTCACGCTCCTCAGGAGTTTCTCTCTTATTGAACACTTTCTCTGCTTCCTTCAATAAGTCTGGCAAACCTAGCGCCTGTAAACCTTCCAACCGCTGCAACTTGGTTCGGATATCTGAGCTAGACTGGTAGATAAATGATAGGATGACACCTGGTGCTTGCCCTAGGTCTTCTGGATCATACGGAGTGTACATCCTATAAGCCTCCTTCAGCCTCTCTAAAAATGCACCGGGTATTTCTTCCTTTCCCTGTATCACATTCCTTACCTGAGCCAAATTGGTAGGCCTTCTGGCGGCCGCTCGGAGACCCGCTAAGAGCAACTGGCGATAGAGACATAGATGCTCCCTACCTTCAGGTGTATTGAAGTCCCAGTCTGGGCGGGACAAGGGAAAAGCTGCATCGATGATATTTGGGAGTTGGGTTGGCCTCCCGTCATCGCCCGGAACCTGCTTCCGGGCCTCCAGGAAAACTCTCTGCTTTTCCTCTACTGTTAAGAGGGTCTGCAGGAGCTGCTGACAGTCGTCCCAAGTCGGCCTGTGAGTCACTAGGATGGACTCAATTAGGCCGGTCAAGGCAATAGGATCCCTGGAGAAAGGGGGATTATGTTGTTTCCAATTATAGAGGTCTGAGGCTGAAAAGGGCCAGTACTGCAACTGACGATTCGGCCCCTCTCTGAGCGGGAAGGCCCTGGACTCATCAGGGGGGTCATCCCGGCGGCCGCGGAGGCGGCCGGCAATGGGGGACGGGGCTGCGTCCTCTTCTTCAGCCCCGTGGGTCCTGCAAGTCGAGGTGACTTCCGGATCTGCCATGGGCACGGCCGGGGGCGCCGCCACCGGGGCGGCGGCTGGGGCCGCTTCGGCCGGCTCTCCAGGTGGTCCGGCTTGATATGGTGGTGGGTCCTCCGTCAGGAGATCTATAAGGGGGGTATGGGGGTCTGGGGGAAGGACTGGAGGCTTAGGAGTCTCCTTGTGAGGGAGCACGGGGTAAAGGGAGGAGTCCGGGTTGGGGGGCGCAGAAGGCCCAGAGACTGGAGGGGGCTGTGGAAGGAAAGGCTTAACCCATGGAAATGGGTTCTCAACCAGTGATCTCCAGATGGCGATATACGGGACCTGGTCGGGATGCCCATAAGGGCTAGGGGCAAAAACCTTGCCCTCCACCTGTGAAATAAGAGAGAGGTTAAAAGATCCCTCTCGCGGCCAGCCGACATTCATCATGACCCATTCGGCCTCGCAGAGGGTGATCCATTTGTTCTCCCTGATAATGACACCTTCATTGTTTCCTCGGGCCTTAACATCGGACCAGTGGTCCGTGGTTAGGCTCAGTGGGGTGGCGACAGCCTGTCCCATGGTGGTCTCTAAATAAAGAAAGGGTTAAACACACAACGAGAAACAAACAGACAAGACAGGCCACAGAATTTCGCGCTGCGCGGCTCCGGCGTAAAACCGAAAACAAAAACTCAGATGGGGACGCGGAGTGTTTGAATTCTCCGTCCCCTGCCAGTACCACGTATCCTTCTGATACGGGGGTGGCCCCGAAAAACCGTGCCCCAGAGGGGACTTCAGATACCCGTGGAACGTCTTCCAGGGTTTCGGTGGGCGAAGTCCGAGCTC